CCTACAAGGAACTTAAAGAAATTTATGAGAAAAAAAACAACCCCATCAAAATGTGAGCAAAGGACATGAACAGACACTTCTCAAAGGACATTTATGCAGCCAATAAGCATGGAAAAAAGCTCAACACCACCAGTCATTAGAGAAATGCAAATCAAAACCACAATGAGATAACATCTCATGCCAGTTAGTATGGCAATTATTAAAAAGTCAAGATATAACAGATGTTCCTATTTCTGTGGAGAAATAGGAACACTTTTACACTGTTGGTGGAAGTGTAAATTAGCTCAACCATTGTGGAACACAGTATGGTGATACCTCAAGTATCTAGAACCAGAAATACCATTTGACCCTGCAATCCCATTACTGGATATATACCCAAAGGAATATAAATCATTCTACTATCAAGCTAGATATACATGTATATTTATTGCAGCACTATTCACAATAGCAAAGACATAGAATCAACCAAATGCCCATTAATGATGGACTGGATAAAGAAAATCTGGTACATATACACTATGGAATACCATGCAGCCATAAAAAGGAACAAGATCACGTTCTGGGCAAAGACAAGGATGGAGCTGGAAGCCATTATCCTCAGCAATCTAACACAGGAACAGAAAACCAAATACCACATGTTCTCACTCATAAGTGAAGGCTGAGCAATGAGAACACATGGACACAGGGAGGGAAACAACATACACCAGGGCCTGTCAGGGGCAGAGGCAGGGGGAGGAAGAGCATCGGGATAAACAGCTAATGCATGCGAGGCTTAATAGCTAGGTGATGGGTTGATAGGTTCAACAAACCACCATGGCACACTTTTCCTTATGTAACAAATCTATACATCCTACACATGTATCCCAGAACTTAAAATATATTTTTTAAAAAATGAGCTGCTTTTTAAGGAATATAGCGAAAAGAGAGCAACACCACCCACCCAGTACGGCCTGCTGTCATTTAGAAAGTTAATCTTTCCTTAGGACAGGCACATTACTCAACATAGGGGGAAAACTGAATTCTGAAAAATAACCAAGACAGAAGACAGGTCTCTAAAAGCATATTTGGTGAATACATAATTTCTTACAAACTTCCTCAGTGGTGATTTCTTTTTTACTCTGTGGCCTATTATATACTATATTATCAAAATGTGACTCACTAAACTTCAATCAGGTCACCTGAATCCCCATCAGTGATGGACCAGATAAAGAAAATGCGGTACATATACACTATGGTACATATGCTATGTGTGGTACATATACACTTAGGTACATATACCTAAGTCACCTGTTAAATTACAATACCTGATTTTATATATAGTGAAATTACATGTGAAATATCACAAAATTTTTATTATAACACTGTCTTATAAGAATTCTATTATATTATCGTAGTTACTCAGAAGTTACAAAATGCAAAATAAAAAATTTTAATGGTGTAAGCTGGGTGTGGTGGCTCACGTCTGTAATCCCAGCACTTTGGGAAGCTGAGGTGGCCAGTTTACTTGAGGCCAGGAGTTGGAGACCAGACTGACCAACATGACAAAACTCTATCTCTACAAAAAATATAAAAATTAGCTGGGCATGGTGATGTGTGCCTGTAATCCCAGCTATTCAGGAGGCTGAGGCAGGAGATTCTTTAAACCTGGGATGTGGAGGTTACAGCAAGCCAAGATTGCTCCACTGCACTCCAGCCTGGGTGACACAGTGAGACTGTGTCTCAAAAAAAAAAAAAAGAAAGAAAGAAGAGAAATAGAAGGGAGGGAGGGAGGGAAGGATATTGCTGTTAAGGGCTTAAAAATAACTGCAGTTCATAAAAGCAGCTTATGTAACTTATAACTGTTATCCATCTAAGCCAACTTGCACTCAACCTCAAGGAGTATGTTGTATTGACCTCCTGGGAGACAGGAACCTCATCTTCATATTGTCGTAAAAGCAGGAAGGGCTAACGTGTGTTTCTGTTTTTTTTAGACATATCTAGATTGATATAAAATAAATAAGAATGCCATGAAAGAAATCCTTACCAGAAAGAAATATATTTATAATCCCTTAACAACAACAAAAAACTTGTCCTTTCACATTTCAGACTTCAGGTTTTCCTACTTAAGAGGATGCATTGGTAGAGTTCCTTGAATTGTTTTAAGGAAAAGAATTAGAAAAGTAAAGGCAGAAAGAAAAAATCAGCTTGTCTCCACTAGCCTAAAAGATTCAGTCTTATTTATTTCCCATTTTCATATCCAGTTTAGTACCTTTAAGCATGTTTTGCAATTCTAGTAGAATTTTTAGATAATTCTGAACTATTTCAATATGTCATACAAAGAATAACAAAAGCTATCATTTGTTGAATGACTATTACATAGGAGTTAATTTATAAATACTGACCCCATCTTACCATGTAGGTTAAGTTATTATCCTATATTTACAGAAGAGAAAACTGAGACTCAGAGAATTAAGTCACATGTCTAATTTAAACATATAAAATATAAATTTTCTAACTGAAAGTATTATAAATAAAATAAATAAGGCAATGTCAAACTGGGAACATAATGGAAATGTTTATGGCATACAATTAATATTATCAATGTATAAAGAGACCCCAACAGAAAGAAACGGTGGATACCTCAGTAAAAACACTGTCAAAGGACTTAGACAAACTGCATAAAGGTAGCTCAATGGACAAGAAACATACGTAAAATCATTCTGTTTTACTGGTAATAACCAATGCAAAGTAAAATAAGATGCCGTTCTTCTACCCAAATTGGCAAAGAGAAAGAAAAAGATAAACTATCCCAAGCAAAGAAAATGGACACTCATTAAAAAAAAATTTTTTTAACTTTTTTGTTGTATATATTTAAGGTGTATCACATGTTTTGAAATACATAGTGAAATTATCACTACAGTCAATCAAATTAACATCATCTCACAGTTATCTTTTGTGTGTGAGAGGGTAGGAGTGGTAAGGGCACCTAAAATCTATTC